ACGTACTGCAATTGCAGAGGACCTGAGGTCAGTTTCCAGCACTGCGACATGAAAGCTCATAACCAGCCATAACTCCTGTGTCAGGGAATCCCACACGCTCTTCTGGCCTCCACAGGATGCCAGCACATGGTTCAATACATGCTTACAAGCAGAACACTCACACATAAAAGAAAAATAAATACACATTTTAAAATCACCCTAACTGCTTTAAAGTCATGGTGGTGTTCAAAACAGTTTCAATTTAGAGAGTTCCAAATGTCAGGTTTTGAACTTAGGAATACTCACCTGGAAGTTGCCATCTACGCCAACACCCTCACAGGCACACAAGTTCACACATGTACATACACACACCTCTCTCTAAAATCTGAAATACTTGTAAGTCTGAAGCACTTAAAATTACTGATATTCGTAAGGAAGTGATTTAAAGTATTGTCTGTTCTCAACCTTGACTGTGCACTTAGACATCGTCTAGTGACCTCATAAATACATATTGTGACTTTGTCACCGGACATTCTGGCCCTTATCCAGACACCCGCACTGCTGTTTATGTCCCAAAGGAGAGCAAGGTGCATTGGCAAATGTTCTATAAACCAGTGGCTCCCTTATTCACATTCCAGAAGCTCCCCTTCCCCACCCCACCCCCACCCCCAGACAAGAAATTTGTTTTTCAGATTGGGGATCAGAGGAATCTCATTTAGGCAGTGAAGATAATGTGGTAAGGGAGCACAGGGAACTGTCTGGTCTCCTACCTTGTCTGTGTCAGGGGCCACGCTGTCTCTCTGGGGTTGGCTCACACATGCTGAGGAAACAGCTGCCGGCTCTACTGGCTGCCCTGGGTAAGATCCAGGGCGCTGCTCCAACAGGCTTGGCTGGCTCTATGTCCTGATCTCCCCGCCCCAACCCCATCCCCAACCTCTTGCCAGAGAGGCCTTGGCCAGAATTCTCTCCTTAACCCATCCTTCACCCTAACCGTGCCTTAGCTAACTCAGCCCAGATTCAGAAGCTGCTGAAGGTGCAGCCTGGACTCCTTCAGACCTTTATATGGAAAGTTCAAGGGGACCACAGGTTTCTGAAGACACTTTGTACATCTTGGCAAGCTAAAGCAGAATCCATGCCTGGGCAGGAGCATCTGAGGACCCTTGTAGCACATGCATGTGTCATGGGATCAGCCCAACTCCTAGCATGGTGATTTTGGGTGCAAACTTTCAAAGCACACAGAGTACTGGTCCCCTTCCGTGACCTCCAGCTGTCACCATGTCACTTAAATATGGAAGTATGATCAATACTTGACCCTCCCAGAACCTGATCAAGCTGGAATCCACCCAAAGTGTTTGCAGTTACCAGTTTATAGTCATGAGAAAGTTATTTGGATGGAGACAGCTATGCCTTTGCTCTTTCTAAAGACAGATACTTTTCCTAGAAAATTAGGCCTGGCTACATTAGAATAAAGGAGAATTTATACTCTCTAAAAAGTGCTTTCCTTCGAAATCCTATACTTTTCCACCTTGACCTTTCTAAATCAAACATGTCTTTCTTCCCTTGTCCCATTCCCTAAGTGCTACATAGGAACAGGCCCCTCTCATATCCACAGAGCCTAGAATAGTGAGAAAACAGCTGTCAGGTCCCCAGGTTTCCTTTGCAGCTCTCATCTGCTGTGTTTCCAGTGTTTTCTTGAGTGTATCCAACTGGAAAACCCTGGCCCTGTCTCAAGATTGGCTCCATACAGCTGCCTTTGGACTTCCCTGGTCTCTCTAGACTATACACCATGTGGCCTGACCAGCTCCCAGGATGAGACAAAACCTCCAAAGACTCAATAAGATGGACATGGGAATTCTGGGTCCCAGAAACCCTCAACAGGAATGTCCTGGGCAATGGAAGGTGCATCATTGTGGAGACCTACAGTTCTGCTCTCAGGAGCGGGACAATATCCAGGGAAAGTTGAGGCATGGCCCTCAAAGGCATGGGCTGTAGGGACAGAGCCCATCTTACCCTACTCCAAGGGTGACACTGACTGTGTAGCATCATCAACGCTCGAATGTACATTGCACAGGTGAATAAGTTGGTGCAGATGTTTGACCCACACCTGCCAACCGTATCACCAAGACCTAAGGACCTAGTTTATTAATTTAAGCAGTGATTTCTCTTGCTACAAAGTGTTATATGATGTTTACTGTCTGGTGAAGTCTTTCAATACGATGAAAGGAGCATCCATTTGTGAGCTAGTGTTGTGTGGCTGGCGCTGCTGAGGAACTGAGCCGGTACATCTCACCAGAGGAGGTGGGTAGAGTTGAGGCTTCCTGGATTCCTGCACGGTGTGTCTTTTCAGGCCTCCCTCTGTCATCAGCAGCTCACCTCCAAGCATGCCCTTATCTCTGAAGCCCAGCACAGGCTTCCTGGAGCGTGCTGGGGCTTTTCCCTGGAGCTCTCACAGCTCCACCTCTCGGTTCTCATCACCTGGTACCATGACTGGATCAGCAGCCTCCCCGCCACCTGTGGTCTAGCTCTGCCTTTTACCAGTTCTCTCTTCCAGGCAGTGAACTCTCGAGGCTAGCGCTCCCTAGTGCTGCAGCAACAGTAAGTTCTCCATGCAAATGCAGTTTTGCAGCTGTGACAGCTCTCCGCTATGGCAGCAAGGGTGGTGGTTGCAGTAATTAAGATTCAAGTTCAAGTAAAATATTACTACAGTTAATGAAAGAAAAGTGTTATCAGAGAACAAACCAAACACATGGGCATACTGCACTGCAGAAACACCTTAGTAATTTACCCTGACCTCAAGCCACATGCTTTTCAAGAAGGCACCCTTGTTTTTGAGAAGGAGTCTGCATGCTATGTGCTTCCCCTCTTTCCTGTAGATTTCAAAATATTCTTTCTTGTTAATGCTGCATTGAGGGTGGCAACACCTGCCATCAGAAACTGTGCCTACTACTTTGAAATATGTTACGTTATATCTATTTTTTAACTACCTGTAGCAGATATGGGTTGTTTCAAGAAAACCGAATGTGATAGAAAAGCAATTGTCTTTTAACACAAAGCTGTGGGTGATGTCATTTCATTGGCAATCCAGGCTACCAGAGGAAATATTCCACACTGAGCACAAGGTGTGTGTGTGTGTGTGTGTGTGTGTGTGTGTGTGTGTGTGTGT